ATGGTGGGTATAGACGTATAGCAGCATATGGTATAGATTAACTACATACAATGTACTATGTACTATTTAAGTGAGGAAGGTTTGACTAGCTTAGGTAAGGATGCAAACGATCCGAGTCGAGTCGAGTTTTTACTTGTTCGAGTTAAGCTTGATAAAGATTTCAAGTGTTCAAACATGTTCGAGCTTGAACGAGCTTCATAATTTTGTGTTCGAGCTTTGTTCATTAAGGTTTTGCCTTGTCCGAGCTCGGCTTGAGCTCGTTCGTTTGTGATTCGAGCTCGAGCTTGAACAAGCTCTAACGTGAACGAGCTCAAACGTGAACGAGCTCAATCAAGCTAATATTAATCAACTTTGAAAAATTATAAGTATACTCCAATCAGAAAAGTCGTTTGATGATATTCATCATAACAACAAGATAGTCAGTAATAAGTATTTGATATTATAAATGAGAAATTTGAGCAAATATGCTATTCACTTTCTTAAAAATAATACTTCTATATTTTAAGTTTATATGATACTCCGTATTATTAACATGTCTAATTTGATTATATACGATAATTGATTATACATAGTAATTGATTTGGTTCCATATTAAAATTGTACTATATATTTTAAGAATAATTAAAACAGTGAAATTAATTGTTTCGAGCTTGAATGAGTTATAAATGAGCATATGAACGATCATATGTACGAGTTTTTAACGAGCTATGAACGAGTGTTCGTGAACATTAACGAGCCGAGCACGAAGGTGTTCGAGTTGGGCTCGTTTACTTAACAAGCCTCATATTTTTGTTCAGGCTCGTTCAATACTTAATAAACAAGCTTTGACCGAGCTTGTTCGGGAGTTGTTCACAAACGAATCCACTCATTTGCAACCCTAAGCTTAGGTAAACAACCCAATCAACAAATTGAAATAAAAGAGGAAGTATCTACGTAGAAGTGAAACAGATGACTAGATGAGTGATTAGTTAAAAGCAATAATAATCAACTCTTGTTTGTAAGCATTATTCTAAGTAAAGGCGGTGTGCATGCTTCAACTTGATTTGGACTTGGGATAATTAGTGCAATTAAACTAATCAAACACGAACTAGACATTTACAAATGGGGTTGTTATCTTTGCATCCATTCAAATTTTAGAGTTAATCACCAATTCACCAATCACCATCCACTATATATATATATATATATATTTTGTTGAATTGAAGGAAATTCACCATCCACTATATAATTCTTTCTATAAGTTGTTTTTTATTATTTGTAAATTTATATTAGAGAAAGTTAGGCTACAACATGAATTAAGCACATCCTAAATTCAATTGTAATATGAAATTTTATCATTCGATTAAAATTATGAAAGTTTCTTTATTAATATACTCGTATGAATGTATGATGATAATTAATATTTAAACATACCAAAACACACAAATTCGTATTTAGTTAATGAATGACAAACAAATCCTAACATAAGGTTTTTTTTTTTTTTTTGATGCTCACGAGGGGCAATGCCCTAGAAAGGAAAAACAAACTACTAACTAGGAATTAAACGTGGCAAGGCCACACCAACAATATCATCATGAAGAATACGTCCTAATTCCATAGGAGGGAATAGAATCAACTCGATACTGTTGTTCTGGATGACGCCTTGGTTTGCTAGCCAGTCCGCGACACGGTTTGCTTCTCGGTAAATGTGGATTATTTGGACTTGCCAATTTGCATTGTCAATAAGCTGCTTGCAGTGGCGTATGATATGGTATCCTTGGCCTCTGTGAGTTTCTTCAGTAGTTAGAGCTGCCACCACTAGCTGACTATCTGCTTGAACCTGGAGTTTTGCAGCATTCATTCTTTTTGCTAGTTCCAACCCATATTCAATGGCTTTCAATTCAGCCATATAAGCATCACATACACCAATCTTAAGTGAGAAAGCATGGAGCATTTTACCAGTGTAGTCACGAATTAGCCCCCCACTCCCTGCTGGTCCAGGGGCTCCTTTAGCTGCACCATCCGTGTTGAGCGCCAGCCACCCTATAGGGGGTGCTAACCAACGAACAAAAGCTTCGTTCCTTGATCTTGCTTGCTGAGAGTTAACTTGAGCATCGTCTCCCAAAACACGCCATACCTCTTCGAACCTTGCAAGAAGAAATTGATTTATATCGAAGGGTATGTCTTGAGTTCTATCAAATACTACATTGTTTCTCCACCTCCAAATCCACCATAAGGTTATGGTAAAATAGGTTGGCCAAACCTCAGGGGAAAGGTTGCCTCGCACTTGATGTTTAATGTTAAATCCAATCCATTGCTTTAATGAACCTTGGTAGAAGTTGGCATTAGCAGCTAGGCCTCCAACTTGCTTCCAAACCTCCTTTGCCGCTTTACAATCTCTCAAGACATGAATTGTATTTTCCTCAAAGTCCTTACAAGTTTTACACCAAGGAGAGTTAGTGAGATTGCGCTTCAAACGATTTGCATTAGTCATGAGCCGATCGTGCATTGCTAGCCAAAGGAAAACTTTAGCTCGTTGTTGAACCTTTAGCTTCCAGATTAGACTCCAAGTGCCATCATTCCCAGGATCATCATCTCGACGAATGATTGTCATTGCGGATTTTATAGAAAAATTTCCTTTTGAGCCCCATTCCAATATAACAAATCACCCATGTCGTTATCTTTTCTCAAGGCATGGGCCTCAATTAATCTCAGCACATCAGGGGGGAGGATCTCAGCGAAGGAGTCCCACTTCCAGCCACTTTCCTCATCCCATAGTTCTTCGACTGTTGCTCCATCTATCTGCTCCGGAATAGTGCCAATTGCAGCTGCTCTAAGAGGGCTAGACATCGCCCAATTATGGTCCCAAAAGAGAGTGGACGATCCATTTCCCAGAGCAACTCTTGAACCTGCCGAGATATATTTTGCATTCTCAGAGATTCCTTTCCATACATTCGACATATTAGCTTTAGTTTCAAACATGTCCACATCTCACCTTCCTTTACATTACTTTGCTCGTAGCACTCTTGCCCATAAGGCATTAGGCTCAGCTAGGATGCGCCAACCGAGTTTGGTCAAGAAAGTCGCATTAGTATTGCAAGCTGAACGAATTCCTAAGCCTCCTTGTTCCTTCGACTTTTGTAAAACCTCCCATGAAATTAAGTGAATTTTCCTGTGCTCCTCATCTCCTCCCCACACAAAGCGCCTAATTCTTTTATCAATATCGTCACAAACTGAAATAGGAATTCTGGCTGTTTGCATTGCATACGAGCTCATGGTTGTCAAGGTTGTCTTTGCTAGGGTGATTCTTCCAGCCATCGAAATGTATTTCGACTTCCACCCTGCGAGTCTACGATCTATCTTCTCACATAAATATGCAAAGGTGTTCCGGGTGACTCTACTTGTGAGGGTAGGCATGCCAAGGTACATACCTAAGTCATCCGTTTCATCGATTCCCAAAGCATGGCAAATTTCTTGAATTTTCCCAATACCATATTTTGAGAGAAATAAACTTTTGATTTTGGATAGCTAATTTTCTGACCCGAGGCGCTACAAAATCTAGCAAGGCACTCTTGTATGACTACCGCTTGATCAATATTAGCTTCAGCAAATAAAATTATGTCATCCGCAAAGCAGAGATTTGATAATTTTGGGTCGTTCCTACTTGCATAAATCGACTTCCAACGATCCTCTATAATATATTCCTCAATCAATTGGTTGAGGCGTTCCATAAATAGGACAAAGATGTATGGAGATAACGGATCGCCTTGTCTAATTCCTCTCCCTGGTTTGAAAGCTTTAGTGGGCTCGCCATTCCATAAAACCTTCATCGAAGAGGTTGTAATACACTCCATTATGAGCTCAATCATTAATGGAGGAAAGTGGATCTCATATAAGGTATCACTGATGAAATCCCATCTAAGGCGATCATAAGCCTTCTCAAAATCAATCTTGATTGCCATAAGTCCTTTCCCTCCCTTCTTTTGTTTCATAGTATGAATCACCTCTTGTACAATTACAATATTATCTGTAATTTGCCTTTCAGGAACAAAACTAGTTTGATTGCATGAGGTTAAGTGAGGCATCATTGGCTTGATCCTATTAACAATTGCCTTTGTGATAATTTTATATGCAACGTTACAAAGACTGATAGGTCTGAATTGAGTGGCAAGTTCCGGGCAATCAACTTTTGGAATAAGAACAATAAAAGTTTCATTCAAATTCTCCGGTAATCCCTTTCCATTCAAAGCATCCAAAGCAACTTTATATATATTTTCCGCAACCAAATCCCAGTGTTTTTGAAAGAATAATGCTTGAAAACCATCCGGACCCGGAGCCTTCATTGCACCCATCTCGAAGACCACTTTTTCGATCTCACACCTAGCAAACTATCTCGATAGAGTATCCCAGTCCCTCGAGGTGAAAGCTGGAAAAATGCCAGTCGGCATAGGCCCTAATAATTGTTGCTCATCCGCTGCAAACAAATTTTGAAAATATGAGACTATATTCTGTTTAATCAACTCCTTTTCGTACAGCCATTCCCCGCTTTCAATATCTTTGATCGCTGTTATGTTGTTACGCCAACGCCTTGTGATAGTACTAAGGTGAAAAAACGATGTGTTTCTATCACCATCTCGTATCCATTCCACCCTTGACTTTTGATACCATAAGAGCTCCTCTTGTTCGAGAGCTTCATCAAGTTCCTTGCGAAGTTTAGACTCTAACTTAATTAAATCCCTCGAACGTTGAGAAGCTAAACATTTTTGAACTCCCCCAATTCGAGCTAGAAGATTTCTCTTTTTTTTGAAAATATTGTGAAATACATTTCTATTCCACTATTGAAGTTCATCACCAACTTTCTTTAACAAAGGAACTAAAGGCCTCGATTTATCCCATTTAGTCTCGATGAACTCACGGAAGTTATCATGAGTTAGCCAAGCGGCTTGGAATTTAAAGGGTTTATTTACTGAGGCTATAGGTGCAAACCCATTCATGGAAATTAAAATCGGGCAGTGGTCCGATTAGACCGCATGAAGGTTTTTAGCAGCGGCGTTAGCAAACCGGAGGCTCCAATCAGCATTACATAAAGCTCTATCGAGGCGAGCACTGGTACGGGTCTCCAAGGAAGTCCCTCTTGCCCATGTGTGGTTTGGGCCACCAAATTCAATTTCCAGAAAATCCATATCTTCAACCCATTCGTTGAATTCAGCAGTTCTCCTAGTTGTTTCAGGACAACTAGAACTTCTTTCATGAGCAAATCTAGTGTCGTTAAAGTCCCCTGCAAGCATCCATGGCTTGTTATGTGTAGCAGCAAAATCTTTTAATTCTCGCCATAAATCACTCCTTTTTAACGGGTCTGGACTCGCATAAATAGCAGTGAAGTACCACGATTCTTCGCCCACTCTATGGATATTCATTGTTATGTATTGATTGTGTTGATGTATTGGTTCTACTGTAACAAGATCAGGCTTCCAAAAGACCCATATGCCACCACTAAAACCTTGAGCATCCACCCTTGTGTGACCCATGTAGCCAATGATTTTTGAGATACGTTCAGCTTGCTGTCCCCCCATGTGAGTTTCCACTAGGGTTAACACAGAAGGTTTGTTTCCGGACCACTTCTCTAAGAGCACTAATAAATGCACGACTGCCAGCCCCTTGTACATTCCATACCATGCAAGATATAGATTGGGAATTTGGAACTAAATTTGGGATAATATCTTACATTAATTGAGGAATAGAAGGTAAGGTACTTACATATGCATTCGATATGAGCCTCATTAGACGAGTAATCTCATTGGGAATTGTCAAGGTTACTACCAATTCCATTGGCTCCGGAATCGGTTCCATCAAAGACTCCATTCTTACCTCCAACACATTCGTCAGGGGGTCGGCTATGCCCAAATATGGAATCTCCATCGATTGACCCACGCAAAGAATTTTGTCCGTCGGGATCCGTAGCATTACTACATCCGATGGTGGGGGAAACATGGGTGAGCTCCTTTGGGGTTGCATTTTGTGAAGCGTTATTTGGTTCTTCTGGAATAACTTCTTTGTTATTCTGTACCTCTTCCCCTACAAGAGTTTCCTTCGTGTTTTCTTTTCCTAGTTTAGTTTTGGTCACAAAAAATTGTGTAGCTTCTTTTAGATTCTCTAAATTCGTTATTGGAGTTAGAGGCCTAGTATTCTGAGATACTGTTTTATTAGCTTTAGGAGTATCTTTTTTCTTGTAAATCTTTTTATTCCCTACGCGCTTCTCTTGAGAATTATTTCCGTAATTCAAGGGAAAAGAATTAGGATAAATTTCAGAATCTTTTTGAGAGTTATCTCCTAAGTTAAAAGTAGGCATATTTACCTCACTATTAATATGGGAAGATATATCATAATCTTTGGAATACTCCCTTGATTCCAAATTTGTAGCTCCTTGAAGAATATCTTTAGAAACAGAATCCCCTAAGTCACCTTTTCCTTCCTCACCTTGGCCCATAAGAATTTCGAAACTTGATTTTGTTACTGCAATACCCTCCGTACTATTAGCTTGATGTTTAGGTAAATTTTGACTTTGGTCTCTATTTTGGATTGGACCCTCTTTTGCATGATTCGGGTTGGATTTATCCATTTTTGGTTGTCGTTTTCGACCCGATTTTTTGACCAGCATCCAATCACCATAGCTGTCTACTTCCTCATGTTTTGCAAGGGTTACAACTTTTTGGATATCCAAATCATTAATTTGATTATTAACTTGGTCAATAATCATACCATCAGAAGGGCCTTTAAGGGCACATTGATCTTCAACATGTCCTAGCCTTCCACATTTGTAACATAACATTTTGATGCCTTCATATTGTATCCTCTATATCCTCCCCTTAAGCCAAAATTTGGCTAACAAAGGTTTCGAGAGATCTATTTCAACACTAAGTCGGGTAAATTGCCCTCTTTCCGCGTAAGCTGTGGATTTATCAACTCGAATGACTCTTCCTATTTTAGCTCCAACTTTTTTCAAGAACTCCTTATCGAAGTATTCAACTGATAAGTTTGGAAATTCTCACCCACGCAGTAAGCACATTTATGGATGTTTCCTCCGGTATGAAGTTTGGAGTCCATTTACGGATAGTAAGGTACTTATCCTCGATTAACCAAGGCCCCTGAGTTAAGACGTAATTATAATCATCCACATTATTGAACCTAGCAATGAAGTATTTGCACCCTATGTCTGTTAGGATTAATTCGCCTTTCAATTGCCATTTCCTTTTAAGCCGCTTCATAAGCCCCATATAACCAAGGCTGCCATCGAACATTCGAATGATTAGAGTATGTTTCCAAGGTTTCCTCATAGCACGTTTTTCCTCTTTTGTGAGGAGAATTACAGGGCATCTTTCGGTATCCTCGATACTGTAGACACCTAAAAATGTCTCCCCAAAACCAAACCCGATGATAAATAACCTTTCACCGCCGTTATTGGTCGGGTTTAATATTTAATCCCGAGAGTGCTTAAAAAATCGTATTTTATTAAATTCATACTTTTGAAAGGTCCATGGATTAGTCTTGATGTTTGGTAAAAGCATAGTTTTACTTTCAGCCCAAACTTACTAAGTAATTTTAAGCCCAAACCTTTTTATTTTATTATTTATTTTTGGCCCAAACCTTTTATTTATTTTTATTTAATTATTTTATTATTTTAGCCCGAATAATAAAAGTAAAAAAAAAGCCCAAAATTATCAATCGACAATTAAAAATCCGAAAGAAATTAGGGTTAAAAATGAATTTAGACGGAAAAATGGACTGGAAGTGACCGTGTCACGGGAACCCTTCCCGTCTGACGGTGGGACTTCCCGTGACACGGGAGGTCTGCCGTGACACGGGACGTTCCGTGTCCTTTCCGCGTAAACCCTTAACGCGTTTTTCATTCCGTTTTCTGAAAATTTCCCACGTCACTCCAAAACTGTGCCGTGTCACGGGAAAGTGTACCGTCTGACGGTACTGTCTGACCGTGTCACGGGATACTTTTTTAGGGTTTTTATCATTTTAGGGTTCCGTGTGCTCATTCAGCACATTTTCCCTATAAATACCCCCTCATTTCTGATGTACGGGGCAACCAGAATTTTATTATTCTTATTTTCTCTCTTCTATGCTATTAACCTAAACACTAGCCTACCCTTTTTACTTCAAAATTACTTCTTCAAGCCCTCAAAGGAGTCCATATTTTACTCGAGGTTCTGTCCTTAAGCCAAGGCGTGAAAGGTAGAATCGTTTGAGGGTTTGGCCCCAAAATCAACCTTATTTAATTTAATTTAATTTATTTATTGTTTTATTATTTCCTTGAAGTTACTAACTCGTTTATTATTTTGTAGTTTCAAACAAACAGAATCAAAGTAAGGATCATGCTCCTTTTATTCTTATTATTTTTCTAACGATTTTATGTTGTTGGAATTGTGATTAATTTGGTTTTAATATTAATGTTTATTCTATTATTTTTATTGATCACCATATTGCATGTTTAAAGGGAATATGTAATTGAAAATCACGCCTAATAAGATAATTTGGACAACCGGTTTAGGATCCTTTTAATCTTGTTATTAATTGAAGTGATCACCAAATTTTTAGAATTATGTGTGCATTAATTTTAAACCAATTTAGCTAAATAATAGTTTGGAGCGAATTGAATATTTTGTTTGTATGCCTTTGAGATCACAGGAATGCTTTTCAATATAAGAATCGAGTAGAGGCCAATACGGGCGAATGTGACTCCATGATTCACTTCGTACCATCATCCCCGATCCTCCTTTCGTGGTTCCGAACCATACGGAGTTAGTAATCTCATGGATTATGAATGGGGTGTAACCTTCACGGGTCAATCGTTGTTGCCTTCGTTGTCCCTTATTCGTGGTTGCCTTTTATGATCCGTGAACGGTTTACAAGTTCCTTGAAAACTTGTTGGCGGCTCCCTACTTTATTTCTCCCTAATCGTTGTTCCTAATCGTAATGTCAATTCCCACTTCCTATGAGTGCCAAGCATATTCACAACATGCTTTTAACGTAGGCGCACTTCGAGCGACGCCTACAGATACCCTCCGGGATTTCATCATCATCAGAAACATCTTCCTCATCCTCAATCTCAATGGGAGTTACCCTATGAGCAGCCTCATCTAACCGGGTGTCTCTGATTAAATCCCTGAAGGATTTGGCCGTGGTTCCCAGATTTGGAGGAGGTAGAGGAGATTGCTGGGGTTCAACAATTGGTTTAGGTAATTGATAGATATTACCATCATTCTCCAGTTCCATAGGCACTCCCTCTTGGGATGCTCCAGAATCTCCTTCCTTGTTAAAAAATAGTTGAGTAACCTTTCGTTTCGGTTTTTTATTCGAACGATGTAGTTGATCTACCATGTCAGTAGGGTTTGGAAGCAAATGGTTATGGCTCATTGGAGAGAGTTTTTTTTTTTTAAATGCTTGCTATATGCTGAATTTTTACGTATTACAAATCCTAACATAAGTTCCATATAATCCATTACAGAATATGATAAGATTGAATGGCTTGTTTGTGGTTGTTAATTTTGACTAATTAGTTTATTCATTATTCATTTAATTTGCTGTCAATTCATCTAAATTTATTTTATTAATTAATTAATCTTTCATTCTCACACGAGGAGGATTTTAGAGGAGAATTTATTCAATTCATATATAGAAGGGTTTGTGAGTTTTTTAGAGAGTTTTTGGACAACATGACCCACCCCTCTTTGCATTGATGTTAATGTTTTTTCCGTGGCGCATGTCCATCGTTCCCTATCAATATCTACAAGAGCTTTACAAGTGGTTTCCCCACCTCCACTTTTTATTAACCAAATTATTTTCTCCGTTCAGAAATAATAATCATATATATATATTATTATCGAAATTTTCTAAAATATAAATATATCATGATTAGATTCTCATTCTTATCTTTCTATTAGACGGAATATTGTACGTAAAAAGGATAAGAGGATGATAATGAAACAACTTTTATGAATGGAAGGGTATTGTTTTGAAAACTTGATAAATAATACTGTAGTATTTAATTATCAAAGGATAAGGACAACAACGTGAATATGTGTCAACTAATTCCGAACTTAGAAATTAGGTAATGTAATGAGCTTTGAGTATAAAAGTGTTTAATGTGCTTATTGTCTATTTAATTTATAAAAAATAAATTTTTTGGTTTGTATTATGTGTTATTTTTTTCTTCTTGAAAATCAATTATTATTTGACATTATCAAGCTTTCAATGAGTAGTACTAAGCTATAAATATAAGGTCAGAAAATACTCGAATATGTTTATAGACCTTAAGTCCTTAATCCTCCAATCTCAGAACATAAAAACAAGATATATGAAGCATGAAAGCTACCATGCAATGACATAAATGTAATTGACTAATTTTAGAAAATAAAAACAAGATATAGATATTTTGTAACATTACTCCATATAATAATTTCTCATAATATCACTAGCTAATTATTGATATGATGTCTCCAACTAATGGCACATATTCAAAATTTTGTAATTCTTGTAATCTTGTATACATAAAAATAATAATAATAATAATAATAATAATAATAATAATAATAATAATAAAAAAACTCTAAGATAAATCAAAGATAAATGTTACAAGAAAACAAATTTTTTGATACGTCTTCCACTATATGGCACTATTTTTTTTTAGGAAAAAGATGGGTGAAGGGTTTTATCATTGCAATCCCAACACCAATTTCTTTTATTGAAAGGTCAAATTTAATCATTATTCTACCATAAAATTATTGCAATATAGGCCATGTACAAATTAATCAATGATAATATGAAGCTAAGTTCTAAGGGTGTGTTAGTGTGTCTCAAATAAAAGTCAGGGGATCTACTAGCAATTTACTTGAGTTTAATTCGATCAAAATGCAAATTGAGTGAGTTAGATGTAACTTGGTTAAGCTCATGCATAGCCCAAAATGTACATAATAACCCACATTTAGAATACGTAGATTTTTATATTAGAATTTTTAACTTCAATTAGATTAGACTAGAGATGAGATAGACTGAATTTTCTATTCAATCTAAGATTTAGCTTTCCTCGAAAAAAAAAAAACCACTAGAGCTCAAATATAATAAGCGATCAAGCCACCCCAAGTTCCAAAAAACAAGTGTTAAAATAAACCCATTGATGTAAACTCATATGTAGAACTTTCATAAGCTAACTAATCCATGAACTCAATACATGTAATTATAGCTATGTTTGGTGCAATTGGAATGTTTTTTATTTTATTTTATATATCTCATGAACGCAAATAATATGTAGATGGTGAGATTGATGATTGAGTTTGAATTTTATCATTTAGGGTATATTCAGATTATTTTCATTTCATTTCATTTCAGCTCAGCTTAATAAGTTCAGTTTAGTCAATTAAATAGACCCTTACTCGTGTTTGTGGGATATACCTCAAGTGACTTATGAGAGACTCGGAATTGTTTAACCTTTCCCTTCCTCCGGTCAATCAGAAAAGGCCCTTACTCATGCTTGTAGGATATACCTCAAGTGACTTATAAGACGCTCGAAATTTTTTAACCTTTCCCTCCCTCAAATTTTGAAGGTGTTTTGCTGGTTAACTCAGTCTAGTATATACCCTTATTGTCTTATTGAACTTAATTGGGGGCTTTGCACAACCTTAGCTAAGAAATTCCAAATTGGCAGGATTAAAATTTAAAAACCGCATCCATCAATTACCATTTGATTGGAAAATTAACCCAAATAAAGCTAGACGGTTAATATTTATCCACGTCATCACTCAAATTCACCGGAAATGCCAAAATGAGAAAAAGCATGATGAGGAAGTACTAATGAAGGTTTGATATGTACTTGCAAATACATATCAAACCTTAAAATATTAAAAAGTATTGTAAGCACATGGGGGTGAGAGAAAGGAGGAGAGAGATTAACAAATGGGACCAATTTTTAAATGTACCACTAAAAACTTATATAATATCATTGAATATGTAGTTATATTATTTCTATGCGTAGTTGGTACTACTAAATGAATATATAGTACCATTGAATGAATATATAGTACCACTGAATGTTCAATGATACTATTTGATCATCTAGTGATACTATTAATCACCCAGTGGTACACTTAAATCCAGCACGTGGGGGTAAGAGAAAAGGAGGAGAGAGATGAGTAAATTTCATGCGAAATGTCTCAAATGCCCCTTGATATGTATATACAAGTACCTATCAAACCTCCCTTTAGAAGGCCTCTGTGAGAGAATCCAAAAGCCGGTGACTTTATTTAAAAATTAACTGACACGTGTCTGTTTTACACTTGTACACACTTAGATATTCATTCACCTTATGGGTCCCATCTCGAATTTCCCTTTTTTCCTCTCAAAATTAAATTCCAATTCCAATTTCCATTTACATTTACATTTCATTTGCATTTCAATTTCAATTACAATTTCATTTGCATTTCCACAACGTACTAAAAATGGGAATAAAATTAAAATTTTTAAAAATAAAAAATATAAAAAAACTAATCTTTTTGACCATAGCAAAAGGAGGGAAGAAATTTATCAAAGAAAAACAAATTAAACAAAGAAAAGTCTTCCTTTTTCTCTCTCTCTTTTTTTTTTCTTACAAAAATAAAATAAAATAAAATGGAATTATAAAATTAAAAAAAATATAATTGGCGTTTATCTTTTCATCTTACCGTCGCTTTCAAATGTGGGTTTGGTCTTCGTCGTTGGGCGGACATAAAAGGGAGAGAGGGGTACTAAGCTTTGAGTTGGTGAATTTGTTATAAAGCTTTTTCTTTTTGCCCATTTATTTCATTTGCTCAAACTCTCCTAACTAAGTTAACCAACTTTAATTCCTTCCCATTTAACAATTTCTTGAGGTATGTTTCTCATCTTTCTGTAATTTGGTTTCCTATTGCCTTTTTAGTGTTTAATTCTCTGTTGGGTTGTTGTGAATTTCATTAAAGTTTTAATCTTTATGCTTGTTTGTTCATAAAATCCTAAAGGCGGTAGTGATGTAGACGAGATTTAATCCGGGTTGGCGGGTCTTGGGTATTACCCGAGACTTGCCAACAAAACTAGCTGTTACTATATGGTACGGAATATTAGGTTGTGATTTTTTATGGGCGTTGTTTGTTTTCAGAAGTTGTCAAGAATCTGAACATGATTTTAGAGTTGATGTTGATTACTAAGTAATGAATTTTTAAGTTTTTGAAGTAATTGCATAATTGCTAACTTTGGTTAGTTATTGTTGTTGTTGTTGTTGCTGTTGTTTATATTGCAATTTGGTTGTTGAGAATGAATGATATGAGCAATAATTTAGTTACTTTTTTGCTGGATTTTCAGTACAATGAATGTTAATTTTCTTGCTGACAAGATGGTGTTGTCAGAAATGCTGTATATGATTACATGTTTATGATATTTGGAAGAGAATCTGAAAAAAGGGTTTTTGTCAATTTTTTTTTTAGGATAAAGAGAACTTTCCATGTGCAGTGGCTCAAAGAGTAAAGTTTTAACTGCTAAGGAGGTGATGGAAAGTGAGGATTATAAGAAAGATTCAATTGAGGATGAACAGAAATCTGTACTGTTGCTTGAATTATCAGCAACAAATGATCTAACTAGTTTTAAGGATGCTGTGGAGAAAGAGGGTTATGATGTGGATGAAGCTGGTCTTTGGTATGGGAGGAGAGTTGGGTCTAAGAAGATGGGTTTCGAGGAGAGGACACCGTTGATGGTTGCTGCCATGTTTGGGAGCAAGGATATCTTAAACTATATCCTTCAGACTGGTGGTGTCGATGTCAATCGAGCTAGTGGGTCTGATGGTGCCACCGCCCTTCACTGTGCAGCGGCTGGTGGGTCCCTATATTCACATGAGGTGATCAAGCTCTTGGTTGAATCTTGTGCTGATGTTGACCGAGCTGATATTAATGGAAATCGGCCATGTGATGTGATTGCTCCTTGCTTCAGTTTCTCCTCGAAACTGAAGAGGAGAACCCTTGATATTTTGTTGAATAAAGGTGATCAGGGTGAAGATGCTTGTGGTGATCAAATAGAAGAGGGGCAACAACAACTACAGCTAGAGGATTTGTCACCCAAATCCTCGAGTGATGGGAGTGGATCAGAGAGGAAAGAATATCCTATTGATCCTTCTCTCCCTGACATAAAGAATGGAATTTATGGAACTGATGAGTTCAGGATGTACACCTTCAAGGTGAAGCCTTGCTCAAGGGCTTACTCTCATGATTGGACCGAGTGCCCTTTTGTACATCCCGGGGAGAACGCAAGGAGGAGGGATCCTCGGAAATACCATTACAGCTGTGTCCCATGCCCTGAATTCCGTAAAGGCTCATGTCCTAAGGGGGATGCTTGTGAGTATGCACATGGCATCTTTGAGTGTTGGTTACATCCAGCCCAATATCGAACCCGTCTTTGCAAAGATGAGACTAATTGTGCACGGCGTGTGTGCTTCTTTGCACACAAACCAGAGGAGCTCCGCCCCCTGTATGCTTCTACTGGCTCAGCAGTTCCTTCTCCGAGGTCATATTCATCGAGTGGCCCTTCGTTTGATATGGGCTCACTGAGCCCCCTTGCCCTTGGTTCCCCTCCTGTGATGATGCCATCTACTTCCACTCCACCAATGACTCCAACCGGCGCTTCTTCTCCCATTGGAGGGGCTGGTGCTTGGCAGAATCACCTCAATATCACACCTCCTCCTGCCTTGCAGCTTCCTGGTAGCAGGTTAAAGGCTGCCCTGAGTGCGAGGGATATGGACATGGAGTCTGGTTTGCGCCGGCAGCAGTTGCTGGATGAACTTTCTGGCCTTTCTCTATCCTCTCCGACCAGCTGGAATGGGAAGATGGGAAGGCTTGGTGGTTTCTCCCTCTCCTCACCAACTGGGGTGCAGATGCGCCAGAATATGAACCAGCAGCTCCTTTCAAGCTATTCTTCTGGCATGCCTTCCTCTCCTGTGAGGGGTTCATCTTTTGGGATCGAACCCAGTGGCTCACCTGTTTCAAATCCAAGATTGGCCGCTTTTGCTAAGAGGAGTCAGAGCTTTGTCGAAAGGAATGCTGTTAATCGGCTGTCATCTCCTGCTTCTAATGCTAGTGTGATGCCTTCTCATCTCTCAGATTGGGGTTCCCCTGATGGTAAAGTGGACTGGGGTGTTCAAGGGGACGAGCTCAGTAAGCTGAGAAAATCTGCTTCTTTTGCTTACAGAAGCAATGGCAGTAATACAGCTGGTAATCCCAATCCAATGCGAGCTGCTGGCGATGAGCCTGATGTTTCTTGGGTTCACTCTCTTGTAAAGGATGCTCCTCCTGGGAGCTCAAATCAGCTTGGATTTGAAGAGCAGCTGAGAGATCAGTATCATCTTAACAGTGGTATGTCGGAGAGGTTCCCACCTTGGGTGGAGCAATTGTACATGGAGCAGGAACCAATGGCTGCTTAAATACCTGATCTTAACATTCAATTTTAGTATTAAAATTACCAAAAATTTTAGTGCTTATCTCACCAATTAGTAGGTTCAAGAAATCGAAGAACGTATCCGAAGGGGAAGTATAAGCTGAAGCTCAAGCAGAGAATAAAAAGAATTCTGCTGATACATTCAATAGGAATTCCAGGATAATTACAAGTAAAAGTATTCTTTTTCCTACATTAATTTTATTGAAGTTATTTATTATTATTTTCTTCTTTTGATATATTGGGAGTCTTGGAGATGGATTATTATCAGAAAAGGTTTTGTGCTGAAGGTAGTGATCAGTATCTGCATCCCTATCTCCCTATGAAGATGGTTGCTAAGAAAACAAAAACAGAGATGTACTGATAAATCAATTGATTCTTATAATTGTATTATTATTTCTTATTTGTATTATACACAATATATGTATCCTTTCAAGCTAAATTCTAATAAATAAATAAATTAATTAAGTTAATTCTTGTCTACTTTGAAGTTTCTTCACTTAGTATTACTGCTAATTTTTTCCATTGCTTATGTTTTATTTGATGCTTTATATGCTCATGCTGTATTATTCATCATTACAATTATCAGTCAGTAATTATCAGCAGTATTATGCAAACAGTGTTGATCACAAGGCAGATTCTTGCGCGTTACTCATCCGTTGTCCACAGGAAACACCACTTCCCGTTCATTAAAAGCATGTCAAGTCGGAAGCGTTCATCATGAACCAGAATCGAATTTTTGAGCTGGAAAAGTAACACTCTTTAATCTATACAGTCTGTTGCTCAAAAAAAAAATGTTGTTTCAGACAGGATATGCCTGTTTCATATCTTATAAGTATGCCAGTATATGTTACTTGTTCCATTTGTCTTTGTTGAGTAGTAGTTGTTCTTGTTTGATCACTTTATTTATGCAAGTGTCATTAAACATTCCTTATGACACCCAAAAAAGTTATAACTTTGATGTGTAACTTTGTTGTTAAAGGTAAAACATTAGATCATTTAGCACCTAAGGAAAACTTATAGACTTTAACTTTACATGCCCAATTTTTCCTTATAGTGGGATGATCACTAATTGCACAAATGTTTGGTTGAGATTTTTTTTTTTTTTTTTTTTTGGGTGATGATGTAGTTATGTGGACCAGTAGTTATCACATAAAAAAATAAAAAAGATTTTAGTGTAGACAAGTTAGACAAAATTCCTTGGCTAATGGTCATGGTTTTATGTGGATATATTCAAAGTTGTGATTTGTGACTTATAAGGCATAAAGCAATTCTTGGTATTTCATACCTTTTTCCTTTGATAATTGGATTAACAATTCTACCCCTCCTTTAGATCTTACAAGTTATAACAACTCAAAAATGAGTTCAATGGTACTTTGATGTGTATTTCATACTTGATTTATTACTCCGAATCTCAATTAGGTAATACTCTAACCATGCTTGGTTTTAACGAAGTGTGTGTATTCACATATTATGCTATAAATGTTTTTAACAAAGTGTGCAGACTTAAACATTGGGAGAATTGTGAGATTAACCATGATTTATGTTCTTACTCATAAGTTTTAACAATCTTGTTAGAAGTCGTAAATAATTACTCGAAACAAAATATAAAAAATGGAGTATTTACTATTGAACATAATCACGCATGCAAACCTTAATGAACCATCATCACTGAGTAGCTATAAGTTTGATAGAAATGACGTACAAGAAATTAGGAATTAGATATTGAATGAATAGCACAGACAACTTTTAGTGCTTGTAATTTGATGCATCACCATCACAACAAATACTTGTTACAAATTGTGTTAGTCATAACCTAGATTTTCTACCATGATGTTGTCTCAATGTTAGTTTGTTCAAATTCTTTTTTGAAAAATACATTTTATACCTAATTTTGAACAATGATTTATTCATATTGGATAACAACATAGGATAATAATGTTGATAACTAACCTGTAACTAATTTTTTTTTGTGATTGGTGACTTAGATTTATGAGAAGAGGTTGATTTCATTTCTCATATCATTTTCAATAATCTAATTAATTATGATATTCTTGGTGATTTTGACGGGATATTATTTGAATGAAATACTTTAATATATATATTCAACGTTTAATTATCATATGTGGAGAACCTTCATATGATAATTAATACGAGTTCTTAAAAACCTATACGAGTTCTTAAAAACCTGTATTTTGATTGGTTTAGTTCATGAAAAATGAAAAGAACACATTTGACTAACTTATAATTCAAAATTGGTATCTACCAAGTACAATATTAACAAATCAAATACTTTGAAGTTAATCAAACAACAATAAATTCAACATTTTCCTTCTTTAATTTACTATAATTACTTCTATAATATATTATTATATTTATATACACAATAGTGAAGGAGCATTAGGGTGGGGAGAGTAACGGGATGCTCCCCATCTTGAACCCTCGAGTTAGAGATCACTAGTACAACGATTTTCCCATTCAAACCCGTTCACCTAACAAAAAATTTAAAAACGTATACAAGAGTCAAGATAGTTAAAGAAAAAGAAAATCAAATGGCTTGGCATTCAATTTCTACAAGTTGATCTATTAATTCACTAACCAACTGGTCAAAAATTCTTTGACTAAAATCTAATTCAGTATCTTCCAACTCATCAGCCTTCAGTAATATCCTGTACTTCCAATTTGAATTATTTACCTCAGCTTCAGCTAATCTGCATATTTTCTTCAACATTTCTATATTTTCATGTTTCTTGTAATCTCTTCTTTTTAACCCAACATTTCTCTCATTACATTGAGATGAATTATTTCTGCTAACAGATTCGGGCTCTCCCAATTTTGCATCTTCTTCTATCAGAAAAAAAAGGAAGAAATTAAAAAAAATATTGCACAAAATATGAACTTTTTAATTATGAAAAATATGAAAGTAAATACCTGATGTTGTAAATTCAGGATCACTGATGAAATCAGTAATGTGATCAAGAACAGAAACTGGGCTAGAATTATCTGAATCACGCTCTACTTCATCTTTACTTTGTCCCAAAAAAGTTTCATTCTTTATCTTTTTTCTTGATTTATTTCCATCCAATTCTTCTTTTTTGCTACTATTCGTATCTCTAATAGGAGAAAGATGATAACTTTGCTTGTGATTGTCTAAAATGGCATCAATTTTGGGAGAATTTTGAGGTGACAATTTCAAAGTAAGCCTCTCTTCATTTGAAAATACTCTGTTTTTACTCTGTTCATCTCTGTTTCTTCTCTGTTTTTTCCCACATTTATCTCTTCTCCTTCTACGCTTGTGCCTTTTAACACCCTCTTCCGACTCTTCAACATTGGGATCTTTCTTTTTAAATCTGCCCCTTTTATCAAAATTCAAGATGAAGAAATCATCGTCTTCGAGCTCGAAGAAATCGGGTGTTTCCCTAAATGAAACAGAAGTCTTAACTCTCCTATGCTGCCCCTGCATCTCCTCTGTTTCTCCTCTGAAATCTTCTGAGTCCATTGATTTACTTCTCGGAATCGAGTCCGTAAACTTCTGATGAAATTTTGAACTAAATTCTAATTCCGGCATCGAATCCAAACCCATTAGCCTTGCTACTACATTAGGAGTGACTGCACCATCTACAACGATCGTCTCAATCGTCGAGTAATGTTGTTTCTTGTTTATCTCAATTGGGTCAGAAGGATGAGTTGGGAGACTCTTGGAACATAGAATTCTACTTAAAACACCTGAAAAACATCCAAAGACATTGCCTTTACTTTTGCAGAGGTTTTCATTGAAAGAAGAAGAAGAAACAGAGGAAGATGAAACAGAGGAAGAAGAAACAGAGGTTGAAGGAGTGAACTTCATTTTCTAGAGAGAGAAAATGATTAGAGAGGGAGGGGAAGAAGAAGTTTTTGCTTAATTAAGGCTTTTGGTGTTGAAATTCAAGTAAAAGGAATGAGAACATGCAGAAAAAAGAAAGATTAGTGAGGGAAGAAAAGAAGAAATTTGAATGAAATTGTCATCATAAAAAAAGGAGGCAAAGGGTGAAAAAAAGCAAAAAGATTATGTTGGATCAGTAAAAGAATGGTCAAAGTGAATTGGGGATTTTTTTTTTTTTTTTTGTAAAGTTTTTTACTAGGGTTGGCAAAAGAATAGTGTGACTAGGCTACTATTCTTATTAATGTAATTCTAGGATTAGATAGTAAATATTAATTTTTTAATTTCTCTATCTAATGAGAAGTTTTCATTTTTATGATTAGACTTTAAATTATATAAAAAAAAATCAATAAATATTGTTAAATTTGTCTTAGTGTTTAATTTATATCACTCATAATTTTTAATTTTTTTTATAAATTTTATTGATGGATAAATTAATTATCAGTTGTAGACTAGTAGAGGGATTAGTAAATAAATTAATTTTTTTGAGGGCTAGTAAATAAATTAATTAAAGTATGATTAAAATGGGAAAGAGTTAGGAAGAAAATTTGAATGTTGTACTCCGTAACGCTACTTTTACATGTTTGATACAGTATAAAAAACAAAGATGGCGGGTTGATGATTTGAAAAAAGTGATGTGTATAAAATATTAAGATTCTAAAAATGCCCTTTGAAGTGTCATTTACTTTGTGGAGAGTTTGACGAAAAATAGGGATAATTTAGTAATTTAAAGTTGAATTGTACAGTTTGTACTACCAATTAGGAAGTATTTTGCAACAGGAAGTTGCCTCCTTTGGCTTTATTGGTAGGACCTGGACCAATTATATTCTTGGAATTTCCAACTAGCCTTTAAATGGTTTTTGTCTAATGTATGGTGAGATTAGATGAGGGTTAAGTTTGTCCAATGGCAATCTGGCATGCTTATTTACTCATAATCATAATGATTTGCCCAAGTTTATATCATATTCAAACTTAATTATGTACGGACTAGTATTTATTTTTGTTTTTAGATTTTGGTCTAATTAATGAAATGTTGAGTTTAAATTGACCTAAATATTGAAGTGTTGATTAACTTTACAAATGATTTTTGTAGGTCGGTTTGAAGGAGGATGAATGTAAGTTGCATTTTTATTATGATTACAATAGACATACTTATATTAGTGCGAGTACTTTATATTTACAAAATTGATAATTTTTTTTTTGAAAACATAAAATGAAACAAATCCTCATTTCTTTCATTTGTAAACTGTCAACAAAAAAAAAGTTAGGTATGGGAGCAAATTTCAAATTGAGCTAAACTATATTAGATTTGAATCATGCTAAATCACAATAATTCTAAGTTTTAATGTGAGTCTATTAAGTCACTTTTGAATTTGATCAAATCGTGCTCAAGTCAAGTCAATTTTTTACTATTGTCTTTCATTCAACCATTCTATAATAGGGCCTATTAAAATCACCATGGGCTATGAGAGTGAGAGATAGCTCAAGTGGTTAGAGCTTCTCTCTCGGTTACACGAGATAATGAGATCGATTCACACCCCAGTCCCCACCCTTGTGGAGTTGTGGCTCTCTAAACACCCAAAAAAGGGAAAAAAAACACCGTGGGCTTTGCAACATATAGTTTATGGGCCGGTCCAGTCTTAAAATTAACCTCAATTAAAAAAGCCCAATAATGGCACTCCATTACTCTGTGTTTTCCTCCTCTTCGTGGTTCTATCATTCTGCTTCTGTTTCACTCTGTTAAACCCTAAATTTGAGGGTTTAAGCCTATTTTCCCCCTTTTTCCTTTCAACAGCTTCAAAGTTCAAATCTTTCATACTTTCTTCCATTTAATCTTTAAGGTATATTACTCAATTCACCTCTTTGAATGTCAATTTTTCCGAATTTAATTCATACCAAAAAAAAATATATGAATTTGGATTTTACCCAGAAATCAATAAGTTTCTAATTTGTGCTTGAAATTATTTTTTTCTCTTGCAGCTTATTGATTCGAATATCATGGGTTCAAAGAAAAAGGGTAAGTTTATCAATTTGTTTTGTTTAATGCAAATTTTTATCTTCCCCATGTGTTAATTCAGCTAAATATGATGATTCTAAAGCTAAAATTTGTTATTGTTTGAATGTAAATTGCAGCGAAAAAATCACAAAATGATGTATCAGATGAAGTGGAGGCTATAAAGGAAGCTAAAGAACATAAGAAACAGTTGGAAAAGCTTAAGGAAACGGTTAGAACTGTTCCTGATCTTTGTTTTTGTTCATGAAATTAGGTTAATTGAATAATTAGGAACTAATTGATCATTAGTTTTGCTGCAGCAACCTGAATTTTATGAGTATCTTAAAGAGGTGGACAAAGAGCTCCTAGAGTTTGATGCTGATGATGTGAGTTTTACTATATGCTGAATACATTACCGTGTAAATATAATAATTGGTTATGGTTTTTAAAGTATTGTTATTTGGGTAGGATGATGTTAAAATAGGCGATGATGATGCTGAAACTGATCTTGATGATACCGGGGTTGATGATGAGGGGGATTTGGATGATAGTGATGTTGAGAAGGCGGTTGTTGGGTCCAAAAAGGGAGAACAATCGGTTCGAGCTATTATCACAATGGAAATGGTTGAATCCTGGTGTAAGGGTATTCAAGAAAATGAGAAAATTGCTCCTGTTCGGTCTTTGCTTAAAGCCTTTAGGGTAGCTTGTCATCTTGCAGAAGAAAGTGATGAAAAATCTTCAGAAAGATTAACCACAATGTCTAAGGCTGTTATGAACAAAGTTATGGTAGAAACTTTGACTAATATGGATGGCATTCTTCGTAACCTGATGAATCTTCCTGCTTATGGAGGAAAGAAAGAGAAGTTGATTGAGGTAAAGAGCACAAAAAATTGGAAGAAGTACCAACATTTGGTGAAGTCATATCTTGGAAATACACTGCATGCTTTGAACCAAATGACGGATGCAAAGGATATCTCATTTACTTTGAAGCATTTAACTAGATCATCATTGTTCTTTGCTGCTTTCCCAGCCTTTCTGAGGAAGTATGTTAAGGTATACCTTCCTCATTTTCCTTGTTGCTTTTATATTTGATTATGCTTTTGCTGGACAATTATGAATCTGTGGTGCTAATAACAATTATGCTGCTTATCATATTCATGAAGAAGGGTGCTTATCTTGAAGGTATCATTTGACAAATTTGGCATTAATTCAATCTAGATATCGAATATGTTCCACACCTGAATGTTTATTACGTTACAAGGAGTTTATTGTTCTTTAGCTTCCCTCCTTTTGGCTTAGATATTTAGAATGCAAATGCAAATTGCTATATGTGATCTCTTTGTATAGAGAACTCCATTAGATGATGTGATCATTTCCCTTTACTTGGGCCATCTGATTGAACCTTTTCTGTATTTTAATATGGGAAATTTCATATTCTTCTATTAATTGTTCATTGACTATGTATTTGTGAATTTTATCTTTGCAATTTTTGACAGGTTGCTCTGCATTTTTGGGGCACAGGAAGCCGAGAGCTTTCTTTTGCATCCTTTTGGTTCCTTAGAACTCTATGTGTCCAGCTTGGGTCTGATTGTTTGGATGAGTGCTTTAAAGGGTTATACAAAGCTTATGTCATGAACTGCCAGTTTGTAAATGCAACAAAGTTGCAGCATATCCAATTTCTGAGGCAATTGTTTGTTGAATTTATGTTGGTGGACCTTCCTACAGCATACCAGCATGCTTTTATTTTCATTCGACAATTAGCAATGATTTTACGAGAGGCATTGAACATGAAGACAAAGGTTAGTCTTTTTGCCCAAATTACTCTTGATTCAAAAGTATTTTTTATTTTTCTTGGATGCTACATGCCTCATTGTTTGTGAATTTAAAACCGCTCATCATTCTTGAACTAATTTGAAATATTTATTCTTGAGATGTATGCCTATATATGTGTCACTTCTGCTGTATTTTTTTTTGTAGGAATCTTTCAGGAAGGTTTATGAGTGGAAGTATATCAATTGTCTTGAGCTTTGGACTGTAGCAATCCGCAAATATGGCCTGGAACCTGACTTCAAACCCCTTGCTTATCCATTGACTCAGATAATTTCTGGAGTGGCCCGCTTAGTTCCAACTGCCCGGTACTTCCCTCTTCGCATGCGTTGTGTTAGAATGCTCAACTGTATTGCTGCTGCAACTGACGCTTTCATACCAGTTTCCATGCTACTCTTGGATATGTTAGAGATGAAAGAATTGAACTGTCCACCTACTGGAGGTGTTGGCAAACCTGCTGACTTGCGGACAGTACTTAAGGTACAGTATTCTTTTCTTGGGTGCTCCACACAGTGTCATGCAATTTTTTGGGTCTGTTTTAAATTGTGGATTCCGTTTTCATAGGTCAGCAAACAAGCACTCAAGACTCGGTCATTTCAGGAGGCATGTGTGTCTTCTGTGATTGACGAATTGGGTGAACATTTGGCTCAATGGAGCTATTCTGTATCTTTCTTTGAATTATCTTTTATACCAGCGGTTAGATTGCGTAATTTTTGCAAAGGGACCAAAGTTGAGAGATTCCGCAAAGACATGAAAGAGCTTATTCGACAGGTATGTAGTCTATGAAAAATAATACTTCCTTCGTTCTTTTTTTATTGCACCATAAGAGGTTTTACGCTTGCCAATGCATTACTTTGGCTATTAATATCTTTAATTATACTTTTGCAAAAAATTTAAAAAATTGATATTTGAAAAGTAGATTTCAAGACGAATGTAACTAGATCCCACATGACTATGTTTTTCCTAATGGATAAATCACAAAAGATGGTCAAAGAAGATTAAGTGAATAGCGTAAAAGTAGTAGTTAGACGGTAAAAGTTCTTATAGTGCAATAAAAGAAAAACGGAGGAAGTAGTAGTTTGGAAGAGTTGGAACACTGCATGTGACTCATAAAACAGTGATATATAGAGCGGTCAAAAGTTGACCCGACCCAAAATACCGACTCAAACCCGATTATTAGCCGACTCATCTGAACCCAAAAAAATGGTGACCAAACTCGACTTGAAACCAACCCTAGATCCGAGTTCACCCGAGTATGTGAGACCCGAACCCGAACATGAACTCACCTTGAGATGACCCGACCCGAATGTAACCTGTAAATTATTGACCTGTACTGAACCCAACTTGAACTGAAATTAACCCAAACCCGTTTTAACTCGTCAAAACCTGAATTTTACCCGACTTGTTACTAACCTAACCTGAATTCAACCCGACCCGTTCCTAACCCGACCCGAAGTTAACCCAACCTGTTACAAATCCCACCCGAAATCAACCCGACTTGTTATTGAC